TCATGTACGCATAAAATGCATTTGCCCTAAGTTTATGAATCCTTTTCTGAGTCATAAGGTTTACACGTTCCATGGATCCTGATGGCAATGTTTTAATTTTCTGGTCTAGAAGGGCGCACGTGCTACAAACATCACTTGATGGCGATTTGAAGCCAATGATAAATTCATTAACAAACACTCTCCTGAACATGGCAAAACTCACTCTGTACAAATCATCCTTTATTTGGTCACAATAAATTTGGTGCAGCTTTCTTATATTCAATTTACAGTTCAAATACAAACGTCTAGATTTTTTTCTCCCATGTGACTTTCTGATGCTTTCAAATTAGAAATGAAATCTCTCACTTTGTTCTTTTTATCAATGCTGTGGCTACTTTTCCTATCACCTCCTCTTCTATCCTCAATAGGATCTCCAGCATGGATTTTGGAAACAATATTGGCCAATCTTGTCCTTCCTACTTTAGTAATGGCAATAAAATTATTCTTACAAACAGGAATTCTCGTTTTATTTCCAACAATGAAGTAGTTTGTAGAAAAGGCATGTTGAGAGCTTGACTTATGCGACTTGTTTAGGTTAGGGTTATTAGGCCTTCGTCGAATAACATTTTTTGTTTCAACTAGAGAACTAATTATTGAATCTTGACGAAGTTTGTCAGGACCTTTATAAAGTTTGTCTCTCAGTTTCTTTACATCGTAAGGTCTAATATCACAACATGAGAACTTCTTTGTTGAATGCTTGCACGGAATGTATACATTGGTTCCTGCAGGTGATGAATAACGCTTCTGTTTTTCTTCTTTTCTTCTTTTGCCAGTTGCCTGTCTTTTACGAGCTCCAGTGTTTCCAATACTTACTAAAATACCATCAACCACTTCATCCATTTGAAATCGAAAGATTGAAACTAATAAAATTGTAGAGCTATAGTAATAGTGAACTACCTACCATAACCTTACTTTCAGTACTGAACCACGTGTTAAAACAGCTTATGCCAACTAGTCATGTGATCAGAGAGGACCGTTCCCATTGGTCAGCTGGAGAAAGCACTTTTTGACTGAACACCGACCTTGGAGAAAACACTCTTCGATTGAACAGTTAGTTTTGCACGCTGTTTTTAAATAGGATAAAGCATGATTTGACTGAAACTAAGGCTTGAATCTGGTGCTATTTAACATGGACTACAAGAAACCATCAATAACTCAGTTTTTATTTTTTTTGGAGAAAACACGGTTTGAATGTTTGCTCCTCATATATATATATATATATATATATATATATATATATATATATATATATATATATATTATAAAGTTAAGATTAAAACATTTATTTGTATAGTAAGTTAAAATTTAAATCTTTGTAGAAGAGTTCTGGACTAAATGAATAAATACTATAGTAGTAAATTAAAGTAGTAAATTAAACCATTTGGTTTATAAGTTATTGTATTTGTTTTTAAATTTATACACTATTTTTGAATTTGCTAAATCATTTGGTAAATTCTTTTAATGTAACACTATTCTGTTGCTAAAAATAATTTTTGAGTTAACTGCTTTTAGCTAGTTGTGAATTCTTTGTTTGATTCTTCTACAACACTTAATGATGGACCATTTAGAGTTGATGAAAAAACTATGAGTTAGGATAGCAACATTTAACTTTGTTTATATATGATTTTTATTTTGGAATATTGTATCAGTTCTTCAGGTTCTTCAGTTCTTCTGGTTTCTAGACTTTTTAATCTTAATTTTGATAAACATTATATTATATGATTTGTGCTTGAGACCTGGTAAAAATTTTTTTGCTCCTCATCAAGTTTTCTCAATTCATTTTTTTTTTATGTGTGGTATGCAAAGTTCTAGTTCAGGTATGATGTATTTAATGTTAATGTTTCAGCTTCAGAATGAGCTTTTAATGTTAATGTTTCTGCTTCATTTGTTTTCATAATTATTGTTAAATGTTATTGTTAAATGTTATTGGTCTTTCCATTTGAGACTGTTACTTATGTTGATACCTAGGTTCCATTTTTATGATGTTTTGTTCAGATTTTTTCCATATTTTTAGATAACATAAAATATATTTTTAATGGAAGCAGCTTTTTATTGGAAGCAGATGTTGTTTATTTTAGTTTAGTAAAAGGGATTTTAGTTTATTTTAGTTTAAGCAAAGGGGTTTATGTAGCCTCTTAATTTAACGCAATTAAATTTAATTTTTTCCAAATCAGCTTAAAAAGTCTTTTTGGAAACTTAATTTAATTATTTTTAGATTAGTCCATTAACATTGAAATTAAAATAAACGCTGTTTTAATAAAATTAAAACACGCTGTGGAATAATGAGCAAAAATCAAAAGACTTTTTTTTTTAAATCATTGTAATGACTTATTGTATTTATTGCAGGTTTTTTTTATGTAAAAATTCAGAATCAACAATTATCCAAATAACAGTTTTTTTGACAATAAATCTATGATGCTCTGTTAAATATTATTCCATTTAATTCAAGTCTATTTGTCGATCATAAAGAAGTTTTCTAATATTTGTGTATATCAAAAGTATTACAATAAAATTAACGAAAGCATCACTCACTTGAGTGTTTAATATTTTTATTTGCTCAAAATTTGTATACATAAAGTTTTTTAAAAAAACTTTACATCAATTTTATGTGAAAAGAAATTTATCAGATTCCTTTAAACAACCCAATTTAGAAAATAATATTATGTCTAAACTATTAACCACACGAACTATATCCCAAAACAATAGTGGTCAACTGCACACTTAAATTCTTTAATTGCATTCTGAAGTAGGTTCTTCCACATTTTAACTACTTGAAATGTATAGTAATTTTGGTGCTGTGGAAATCCTGGAGCTTAAGTACACATTATTCTTTCTCTATGGTCCCAAGTGTGACCCACTGGATCATCGATACTAAATGAACAAGCAGGTAGTGGCTGATTTTGCCAAGTGATGAGATCTTAAGCAAACATGTATTTTTAAACATAGTCTCTTGAGTCTTACATTGTATGGTAAATAATGCGGATATGGTGTAGTGGTAGAGCGCTTGCCTCATAAGCAAGAAGTTCCAAGTCCCACCACATCCTAATAATACCATGCTCCACCACATCCCTAATAATACCATGCCCCACCACATCCCTAATAATACCATGCTCAACTTGTTTCTCCACGCAGTGGGCGCTAAGTAAGCTATTTCAGCTATAACTTTTGTTTCTCTTTTTTGAATGTGCACATAAGTTTATATCCTTTTTTTAATAGGGTAACCATGCTTGAGTAGCAAAATCAAGGTGTTAGCAAATGTAGGTAGTATAAGGCAACTTCCAAAGAAATGGCCATCTACTTTTAAATGTCTTTTTCAAGGTACCAAGTATTCAATTTTATTTTGAGTATTTGGTACCAGCAACTGCTGCTTAAACTTCATTTTTTGTTTAAGATCATTGAAAATCACTTCCATTTAGATATAAAATCACCCAATACTACTCTTTGCTTTCTGTTTCTGAGCCACACTTTGATCCATGCAATAAATTGACTTTGTATCCCATATCTTCCCATTTTATGAATGAGTCTGCGGTGGGACAACTTATCAAGTGCTTACTAAGTCAGTGTTGTTTCAACAATTGTCTTGTTTAATATTTGTAATAATGAGTTTCAAGTAAATAATATAGTCTTTTTTTTAAATAAAACGTATTGCTTCACGTATAAGATTTTCTATAATTTTTATAATATTCTATAAACTTTTCAGGAAAAGACATTAGATAATATTTAATGAAATTACAAAACTTTTTGCACATTTTTTGAAAACTGTAGGATGAACGTTGTCTTATCCTATTGATTTTATTTTATTCAGTTTTTGAATTTGTTCTTGGATAAATTTTTCAGTTATAACTAGCTCTGTTTCTGTGTAAATAGGCGATAATCTGAAGGAGGATTAGATGGCTCTTTTTAAAATACTGAGTAAAAATAACTGTTTAATATCTTGCTATTATCAATAGTAGTTATACTATTTGTGTCTTTTAAAACACAAATTAATTGTCGATCTTGGTGCTTACTTCAGATGTATTAATAAAATATTTTTACATTAGGTTTGGTTTTTTTATTGAACTGTTCCTTGCAGTTTTTTATTTCTCTTTTTTTTAATTTCTTTAATGCTTTTACAAGCTATTTTATATTTAGCTTTTTATCCGCATTATTCCGTGCAGAGATATGGTAAAAATGCACATAAATTATTTACAATTAATTATCTTACTTATTGGATCCTTTTCTTTACAGTACTTCATCAAATTTGTGGATCAAATTTGTTGCAAGGTTTTTCATATTCAATAATTAGTAATTTGTAACATGTATTGACTAATAGATTATTATATTCAACCCAATTTATTTTATTTATGTGCTTATTTATTTATGTGCTCAATTTCCCCTGCTCCATATATAACGACTCCTCAAAGCTCAAGACATAAGTTATTTTTTATAAAAATGCAAAATTCTTACATAATATAGGCATGCCCTCAAAAAGTACTGCCAGACGGTGCATTACATGTGAGAAATTGACATTTAAGAAATTATTAGGAGTGTTAGTGATAATAAGATTCAGAGTGTTAACAGGTTTTTTGTCTGGATTAAGTTGATACATAGGAAAAGACACAAGCTGGGTAAGATAATTCTCCTCAAGACAATCAGTGAATAGTTTTGCTGGTTTCTTGTCTCCTTCAACATTTTTATTAATGCAGCTGAAAGTTGAAATTTTGCCTCCTGCATTATAATATGTGTTTACTAATAAGTTGAATGTCTATTCTTTGTACCTTTATTGTACCCCTGAATGTATATTCTTTATACCTCTGTTGCCGTTAAATGTATACTCTTTATACCCTTGACGTATCCCTAAATTTCTATTCTTTGTATTTCTTGTTGCTAAATTTACTTTTACTCTTGTTTACCTATATTCTTATATTAATTTGATTGATTTGGTCCTTGATTGTTATACTTTTTAATACTTTCTTTTTTAGATCCAGTTTTGTTATCTGCAAGTATGGATAAGAGTTTAATTGTTTGGGAATATGATGAAACTAATGAAATTTGGTTAGATAAGGTAAAACTGTAATTATATGGAAATATGATGAAACAAATGAAGTTAGGTTAGATAATATAAAACTGGTATTAGGGTTTCCAATTATTTGACAGTAATGACTATTCAGATATCGAATACTAAAATTCAAATTATTCGGATATATCCGGATATGCTGATACCAATTTAAAATGAAGATGGTAGATTAAACTTAATACTCATGGTCTTTTTAATGCAATAATTAAGTTTAACTTATGTATTTTAGAGTTATATACATTAAAAGTCCAATGAAGTCCAATGACTGAAGTTTTAAGCGAGTTCTAATTTTTCTTCTAGTTAGATCTGCAATAAAAACATTGTTGCAAAAAATATTGATTTTATTGTTAGAAATGTGTTAAACAATATATTTAAATTGTTTGTTTTTTATGTTTTTTAAAGGCATAAAATCTTTTTCAACAATGTATAAACCCTTTTAAAATATTTCTAAGTTTTAAAGTATAATCAAAGTAATAATTTAGAATTTTCTAAGAAGATCATAAAGATTTTATTTCAACATTAATCAATTCGTTGTAACATTTATCCATTCGCTTTTTTACATTATAATAAGTTTTTATTTCAACTTGTTTGTAACAGATCTTTTTACTTCAACTCGTTTGTAACAGATCTTTTTAATATAGATTTATAAATGCCTTCAGTTGAAATCAGCAGTTAAAAGCATAGATTTATAAATGCCTTCAGCAGTTAAAAGCGTTGCAGAACTTTTAATTAACTTCTTTATTGCAGTTCCTAGCAATATTAAGAATCTAATAATTCTTTTAAAGTTGATACTTTCTCCCTGCTATATTTCATTTAAAGTTTTATTTATAGGATCCTTTATTTGAAGGAACTGTTTGAGCATGGTTTTCTATGAATACTAATGATTTTTGACTCTATTTGTAGTCAACAGATTATGGTTACACTTTGTAACCTAAAGCTTACAAAGTGTAACAACAAAAGATTGTTTCGAAAATAATAAACTAACATTTAACCAAATAAAAATAAATTTTTACTTTGTAAATAAAATGAAATTATTTGAGAGTTAATTATTTCAAGTAACTATAATACTAAACTTTCCATCATATAATAATCATTTAATGACTCGTTTAACTTTTATGTTCATATCTAGCTAACATTATTGTAGAGGATTTGCAGTGGACCTATAGGCATTTTGAGAAGTTCATAGGAGTTTTGCTAATCGATTGTAAAACTGTATTTGTTTAGAGCAACATACAAGGAATTATGTTTTGTTGGATAAATTTCTGATTATAAGTTTTTTTTAACAATTTTGATTTAGTTTTTATGCTCCAGCGTAATCTTTTAAAATTTTTTAAATCTTTATATTTTTTATAGTTTTTGAAGCTATAAATTAGAGATGCCACAAATATTCGGCAACACTTAATTATATTAAGGGCACTGAACTGCTTTGTTGTAGGGCATAAGTCAACTACTCTGTGGGCATTTATAAATAGGTTGTGTCCCAGCATGCATTATTTGTTAACTGATATACCAAATATTTTAACTCCTAAAAGTTTCATACTCTTTAAACCAGTCAAAAAAGTTCAAAAATAACTAGCTCAGGTATATCTTGCACTTTTGAGGTAATTTTAGAAAATTCTATAGATTGAATTAGCATAAAAAATTCTAAACTTATTTAAAATGTTATTTTCATGACAACCTGAACTTAAAGGGACCACCAAGTCCCGAGACATGTTGTGTTCATATTAAAGAGTATGTTAAAAAAAACGTCTGAGCAAATTTTTTTTGATTAAAACTAATTAATAAATGTATACCAAAAAAAACAAATCTTGTTGTTTTAGTCAAAGCTAGTTTTCTCCATTTTCTGTGGTATTTGGAGTCTTTTGCAATTTTCCAGGCGCATTATACAGACTTGATAATATGTTCAAGTGCGTTTAATTCATAGGAGTTTTAGTACATGACGTCATTGGAAACATTCTAGAAATTTTTTTAAAATTTTACCTTAGGACCCCTATGGCGCCAAATTTTTTTAAATGTCTTTTTTTTATAAATCAAGTAGATTTTTTTAGTTGTTCTGCTCATCCAATAAAATAACATGCTGTGGCCCATCGGCTACGTCCTAAATGTTGGTGGGGGGGGGGCAGTAAATTTAGGTGTTCTTTTTTTAAAATTTAAGATTAATTTTATCAAATTTATTAATTTTTTTTTTTTTTGTTGAGACTGATTAGACCCTAATGACATGTTTTATAGGGAGGGGATCTCTGACTCCCTATCCATCGTACTTGTAGCTAAAATTTGGATTTTATCAATATTTAATGTTATTATATGAGATATGATATTTATAAAGATACTCTGTTTATTGGGACTCGAAAAAATAAAAAAATAAAATTTGAAGTCCAAGGAGTCCTTAATTTTTGATCTCGGATTCTGGAGTCTCTAAAAATACATAGGACGCATCTCTGCCTAATTTACAGTACTTTTAAAAGTCTTTTTAAAAGTACTGTAAATTAGGCAGAGATGCCTAATTTACAGTACTCTTCGTGTAAACCTTGTGTTTGTTTATAGTTTATAGCTATAATAATAATAGAAATCGTTAAAAAAAGTAATTAAAACAAACAACTCAAAACATACTTTGGTTCAGCATAAATAAAGGAAATCGTTAAAAAAACCAGCTAAAACAAACAGTAAACAACAAACTTTTATTGTTTTAGTTTAGCGCAAATAAATGGACTAAAAAGTAAATAATAAAAAATATATATTTAAAAAACGTTTTAAAACAACATTTTAAAAATAGACTAAAAAGTAAAAAATAAGCTATTTCATGGGACTCAAGGACTTTGTGTACATACGCAACCTGAAATATCCATAAAAGTCAATGACTGAAAATGTTGGGCACCAAATAGAATGGGTTGTACTTAGTTGCCCAACATTTTCAGTCATTGACTTTAGTGGATGTTTCAAGTTATTTATGTTCACAGTCCTTGTGTCCCATGAAATATTTTATTTTTTACTCATTCCATTTTTAAAATGTTATTTTAAAAAGTTTTATTTATATATATATATATATATATATATATATATATATATATATATATATATATATATATATATATATATATATATATATATATATATATATATATATTTTAACTTTACTAATGAGTTTGATGTAATAAATTAAAATTATATTTATTCATCAATTATATATTAAAAACTATGCATTCATTATCTGACCGTTAAAGAAAAGTAATAGGAAATAAATAGGCACCAACTGACTGTTAGGAATTAGACTTATATCGGCAAACCGTTAGAGATTTACTTACAAAATATACTTACATTACCTAACAGTTTGTGAGGTGACTGAATTGTTTTTATCAAATTTAAAAAAATATTATCAAATTTTAAAAAATTAATGACTTTTACCTTATAAAACCTTATTTTAATTTTATTTTAATAATTGCTTTAATGCTGATAGAAACCATACGTTTTTATTTTGCAATGTAACAGTAATTAATTTGAGTTAAGCTAGGCAACATTTTATAAATTGTTTACAAATAATGGCAAATATTAGTATTTTAGTGATTTTTGTTATATCAACATTAAATTAAAACAATTCACATTGATATTCAGACATATTCAGATATGATTTTATTATGTATTTATATGTGTTTATATGATTTAATTATGTATTTATATGTATTTATATGATTTTATTATGTATATATATATATTTTTTTGATGAGTCTAAAATTCTCTATCATAATAACTAGTTAAAAGCGAGAGAGGCTGCAGTTAGGTTTAACCCTAACCGGTTAGTTGGAACTTTGTCAAACTAAATATTAGTTAACTAAACCTTCAAATAGAACTATGACACAGTAGTTTGCTTGTTTTACACTAGGTTTCTATAAATTTAAGTTTATTTTGTTTGTCATGATACAAATAGTCCAATTAAGTGATAACATCAATTTTGGTAAAAATGTCAGTCAGAACCTTGTCAAACGAATGTGACAAATGTCAATGAGAACCAAATGTCAAACGATAGTGACAAATGTCAATGAGAACCTTGTCAAACGAACGTGACAAATGTCAGTGAGAACCTTGTCAAACGAACATGACAAAATATCAATGAGAACCAAATGTCAAACAAACGTGACAAATGTCAATGAGAACCTTGTCAAACGAACGTGGCTAATGTCAATGAGAACCAAATGTCAAACAAACGTGACGAATGTCAATGAGAACCTTGTCAAACGAATGAAATAATACTAATAGTACTAAAATAAACAAAAAAATGCTAAAAAAAAAAATATTTTATAAATAAATTTTGTGTTCAATTTTTGAAAGTATTGTATAAAAATGCTCTTTTATTTTATTTTAATCAATAATTTTAAATCGGTAATTTTTTTTTTAATCAATTTTTATTTATTAACAATTTTATATTTGTAAAAAAATATTTAGTTTTGTTTTTAAAAAAAGTTAAATTTTATTTTTATCAAAAGTTTTTTTATTTTGTAAAAAGTATTCAAGTAATTTTCAGATAAGCCATAAGTCAATAAGCAAAATGTTTGTAAGCGTTGTAAAGTGTTATTTAGTGTTTTTAAGCAAAAGGTAGTTGTATTGTAAAACTTTAGAGTTTGAACTCTATCATGTCTCTCATTTGTAAGTTATGTTAGTGTTTTCTACAAGAAAAGTGAGATATGTATATACAGTGCTTGCAAAAAAAAAATATGTACAATAAAATTTTGTTGCTCAAAATTTAAACTATTTAAAATAAAAATTAAAGAAGATATTGAATTTTATTTTATTTGCGAGAAAAATCTTTTTTAAACAAATCTTGCATATTGGATGGCTTAATAAAACATAAAAATGTATAGTATAAAGTTTTCAAAATGTTAAGTATTAACATAAAAATGTATATAATGTTATCAAACATTATATACAAAATTATAATCAAAAAATATCAATAAAATAACTGCAATATATTAAAAGTTAAAGCAACAAAAGAAACATCTAAGCTGTTATCTAAATATCTCCCGCGAGTTTTTTTGCAAGCAGCACATCTTTTTTCCATCGTTTTTTGCAGATTTTGTTTGGAACTCTTCTCCAAAAGTTATTCAAATCTGGTAATTGAGCTGGCCAGGGCATTAAATCTACTTTATTTTCTTTCATCTATGCTTTTATCGTATGAGTTGTGTGGGCAGGTGCCAAATTTTGTTGAAATTGCCACCATTCGATTCAATTATTCAGCATGTCCACTGATGGAACCACGCTATTTTTTAGTGTCTCTATATATGTATGTTGGTTAATTCGACCTGTATAAATGTTACGCTGCTATTCCGTTAAAATTAAAGCAGCCCCAAATACTAACTGTTGCCGCCACTTTGCAACCTCAGTACATCAAAGTGATTACTTTACCAATTTTTTTTTAACCTTCTAACAAGAACTTTGCTTTTTCTATTTATTACTTCAAAGTTATTTTAAATTTTATCACTAAATATTACTTGCTTTCGATTCTCCAAAGACCACCCGATTCTCTCCTTGCACCACCTAAATCTTGTGAGTTGATATCTGGTGATTAACATGAGTTTTCTCACAGCTGCATTACGTTAAAGCTCCACTATTTTTTTTTACAATCTTTTCTGATGTTTTTTGTATTCCTTTGAAAAAAGAAAATTAACAAAAAAAGTAGCTATACATGACTATAGAATAAAGTAACTATAAATAACTATATATGAATTTGTGGTTAACACGTCAGTTGTAGAGAAATAATTTTCCTGTTCAAAAAAAAAAATTAAGTCCTAAGGAAATATGGATGAGGTTTTACAATGTTTTAAAAAAGAAAATGTACTTAATTTTATATATATATATATATATATATATATATATATATATATATATATATATATATATATATATATATATATATATATACAGAGAGTTCCTGTGGGTCTTGTGACTCGAGAAATGTTGTCATTATGAGAGGATAAAAATGTAAAAAAAGCCGATATAATAAAAAATATACTATTAATAACTTGTAAATATATTTTTAGAGTAGCATTTATTGCACATAAAACTTTATAAAGCATTAATTATAATATATAATAAGATATATAAAAATTGTAAAATATGGCAATGAGACTTGTTCTCTTTGACTTGATACCGGTTGATTTTTTATTTACTAAAGATGGAGAATCATGCAACATTAGATAAAATGTTCATTCTTTGGTTAACTTAAGTAGCATTTAATTAGCAAATAATTTGAATTTTTTAATTTAAAAATAGTATTAAACTATACAGATGTTTACAAAATTTTGAAAATTTCAATAAAAAAGCAAAAACAAAAAAATAAAAAAGCAATAAAAACAATAAATTTAAAATTTTATTATATTTTAAAAAAATATTTTTTATAATTTTATAGTTTTAAAAAAAATTATATCTTTTCTATAAATAGGCACGAATGGGAGATGTGGGAGGCAACAGCCTCGGATATTATGGTTGCGCTTTTTCACCCTGCGGTAATAAAATAATTGCTTATAGTTATCAAGGTGCATTTCAAATGTGGAAAAAAGATTTTGATGATGTAAGTGGTGTTACTATATCTTATAATTTTTTACTCAATTTTTTTTACTTGATTTCATGAGAATTTTATATCTTATTTTTTTAGATTAATAAAAATTTTAATAAAGTTATTTTTATTATTTTAATTTTTATTTTCACCATAGAGTTTTCATAGTATACTTTTTAGCTTTTTTTTCTAATTACATATATATTTATAATTTTTAATTTCTATTTGTATTATTTGTATAAATTTTGTTTAAGCCAAACATTTGGAAATCAGAAATTGTAATAAGTGGACATTTTGATTCAGTTGAGGTTATTTATACTTTAGTTTAAAGTTTAAAATTATAATTAAATTAATTTTTATCATAATTTATGCATTATTTTTTTCATAATTTATGCATTATTTTATCTTAACTCATGCAGGATTTTGATTGGGATCCAATGGGAGAGTTTGCTGTCACAACAAGTGTTGATCAAACTACTAGAGTTTTTGCACCTTGGAGAAAACAAAGTTCAATGGTAATTTGTAAATAGGAGAAACCTCTGTTTCTAAAGCCTTATAAAAATATCTAAATATCTAGAGTCTTATAAATATATTGCAATGCATAAAAACAACAACACAGGTTTATTTAAAACAACGCCACAGTTTTGTTTAAAATCTTATTCTTTGTTATGACAATTGCTTTCTACTTTTCTTATTTCTTATTTAAAATAATGATCTAGTTGAAATAGTGAGGCTGATCTAGTTGAAATAGTGAGGCTGGTTATAAGTGAGGCTGACCTAATTCTATTTTATGGCAATTACTTTCTACAAATAAAGTAATTTTTATTTATTTTATTTATAAAAAGTAGTTATTATATTACTCATATTTTATTACTATTAAATAATTTCAGTTAAATAGACAGGTTTTAAAGTTACCGGCTTTAGATAAAATAAGTTTTTAACTCATTGAATCTATTGCCTTGATTTGAGTCACAGTAGTAACCTATAGCAACTTATAAGGAGATATTATTGGGTCCATGCTTATGGATCTTTCAAAAGCGTACGACCTGATCCCTTATGATTTATTAATAGCTAAATTGGAAGCTTATGGTTTTTCTCATGAAAGTCTTAAACTTTTACTATCATATCTAAGCAATTGTAAACTAAAGGTTAAATTGGGTTCACCATTTTCTGAGTGGTTAGGAGTCTCATTAGGAGTGCCTCAAGGATCAATCTGTGGGCCAATATTCTTTAATATATTTATAATTGACCTTTTTCTATTTATTAAAGGCTCTGAAATTTGCAATTTCGCTGATGATAATACTCTCTATATTTGTGATAATAACTGAGAGTGTTATTCTTCAATTGCAAAACAAAAATCGAAATTTGTGGTTTTTAATGATTGATGTTTTTAAATCCCTTAATGGTTTAAACCCTGAATTTATGAAGGGCTTATATATAAAGAAAACTTGATGTTGCATAACCACAGATGTTTCATAACCACAGATGTTGCATAACCATTTCAACTTAGATGTTGCAATAAAAAAATGCTACCTCTCAAAGGCGTTAATCATAAAAATAAAAATAATGTCTTATATAGAGCCATCTCGCTCTGGAATTCCCTTGACAATAAAACTATGTGCTTAAAAAGTCTCCAGGTGTTCAAAAATAATATTTTACATTGGAATGGGGGAAAATGTTTTTGTAGGTTTTTAAAACTTATATTTCTGTATTATAACTAATCATGTCATTTTTACAAATTTATAAATTTATTTTTCTTTTTATGGTATTTGCAAAGTTATTTTTTCTTTTTACGATATTTTATTTAAGTAGAAATAAGTTTTATTAAGTAAAATTAAGTTGTTGTTGATTTTTTATGGTTATTTTTACGATTAGTTTATTTATAAACTACTGTATGCAATCAACTATAAATAAAGTTATTAATAAATAAAAGAAAAATCAATGAGTTTTTGACAATAATATAATAAGTTTTGCTATTTTACAGATTTTTGCAATTTTATGGATTTACAGATATTTAATAATTTTTAATTTTAACAAAAATATATTTATTTTAACAATTCCATGATAGATTTGATTTGTCAATTAACCTTAGACTCATTCATTATCTGATGAGACACAAATGTCAACAGGAGCAATACCCAAAAGCTAAGTGACAATATAGCTTATTCATTCAGTCGATCTAACAATCATAATTCTTAAGATCTTGTAAGTCAGCAACTTTCTGCTCTGCTCTGCCAAATTGAAATTTAGTTTCTTTAGTCTTTTTGGTAATTCAATTCATATGTATACTACTTCATTTGTGAACATAATTATTTAAGAAAAATATGTTTGTATTAGTTCTCCAGGGTTTTTTTAAAATGGTACCAAATATAGTATTATTTACTTGATTGTCATCACAAATTATAGAAGTAAATTTTCTACAGATTCATTTACATTAGAAATAACGCTACACTGGAAATTAAACAGCATTACCATACTGGCAATAAATATATGTCCTGCAAATATGCATTCAACCATTACAGCTAGGAGTGTTCTAACAACCTTCTCTAGGTTATTCTGAGCATGAACATGTGTTTTTATTGCCATGAAATGTAACAGATATTTTAGTGTAAATCTCATCAACCATTATAATGTATTTGCATCTTTCAAACTGTGAAATATTTTGGAAATTAAAAGTACACTATACATCTTCATGCTTTTAAGGTCGATTTTGTTTCAAAGTGTATGCTGGTCACTATAATCAAAAGTTATTTGAAAATCATTTCTTAAATGTTTAAAATAATATCTGGTGGGTATAGAGACTTTTTCAGTTCTCATCACAAATAATTCTTTTTATAGAACTTTTTTTTAACCATTTCAATATTGTTTAAAAAATGAGTTACTTGAGATAAAATAGAAAATTTGTCTCTCTTATTCAGTTCTGTAAAATTGACAAAAGGGATATCTTCTGAAATTGCAGTTATACAATAAAAATGTCATATTTTGATGAGCATGGAATGATGCAACACTTTAGAGGCATAGTATTATCAAATATTTGACTAAATTTATTTTTAAATTTCACCCTAAAAATTTAGCTGTTTGACTATGAAATTGCAAAACTTGTCTTGAGTCTTGAGTAAATGCACAACTTATTTAATCTTAATATTGTGTTGTTACAAATCAGTTGTTACATATTGTTTGTTACATATCAGTTGGGTTGTTATATATTATTTAAAAACTTTGACATATAAAATTCGCCGAATGGTCACACACGAGCAGTCAACGCCTGAGGGAAGAAATGAAGTACATTAGAATAAAGGAGAATTATTTATTAGACAAAGCATATTTTGACAGTTGTCAAGACAAAAATAAAGATTAATAGAGGAATATTTAAAAATAAATAAGACAGGCTATACAATTAAAACAGTACTAAACAATAATAACAATAAAAAAAATTAAAAAAATAAAAATAAAAAATAAATAATAATAATAAAAAAATATATATATATATATATAAAAATGAAAAAATAAAAAAATTGTTTTATAAATACCAATATCAACTAAAATATACAAGAAATACATAACCAGTAAAAAATTTGTAAAACAAAAAACCATTCAACAAATTAAAAATATGCTAACAACAATGAAAGGACTAATAATGGAAAAGAAAAAATTAATGCTAATGTGTAAACATAATTAGTGTAGTGATTAAGTAATAAACATCTCCTCAGAGTCGCGTCTATTATTACTGGCGTTTCGATGAGGATCAGCATTTATAACTAGTTTATCCCGTCAGACAAACGTCATTGCCACTTATGCTTTACCCTGCGACTTACGCCTATTCCATACTGCAGTAAAAAAGGACTCACTACAAATAGCCAAAACCCAACCAACCCCAAATTTGTAAAGTACCAATAATAGTATTATCAAATATTTGACTAAATTTATTTTTAAATTTCACCCTAAAAATTTAGCTGTTTGACTATGAAATTGCAAAACCTGTTTTAAAAAAACCGAGTCTTGAGTAAATGCACAACTTATTTAATCTTAATATTGTGTTGTTACAAATCAGTTGTTACATATTGTTTGTTACACATCAGTTGGGTTGTTATATATTAGTTGGGTTGTTATATATTATTTGAGTTATTACATATCAGTTGGGTTGTTACATATCATTTAAGTTATTACTTATCATTTGAGTTGTTACATATCAGTTGGGTTGTTACGTATCATTAAAGTTATTACATACCATTTGAGTTGTTACATATCAGTTGGGTTGTTACGTATCATTAAAGTTATTACATATCATTTGAGTTGTTACATATCAGTTGGGTTGTTACGTTTCATTAAAGTTATTACATATCATTTGAGTTATTGTATATCATTCCAGAAAATAACTTGTTTATTAGTATTAAGGGAAAATAACTCAATAACAAAGCTGACTAATAATTTTTACTCATAAAACCCTTAAAACTTGAATTTGATAACCTTGTGATTAAATCTTGGGATTTAAGTGGAAAAAATTCCCAAAGAACAAGACAACTACATGGTTGGCCTAAAAGACTAAATAGTCTGATACAAAAGGTGTAAAAAAAAAACTGCATTCAGAGAAGAACTATTTTATATTGCATTTAGTAAATAAAATAATAAAGTTTTGTGAACTCAAAAAAAAAAATTTTTTTTTAGAAAAAAAGATTTTAGTGATTAAAAAACATTTTTAGTTATAACTTATGCTAATTATGCTAATTATGCTTCATCTTGTTTTTAATTATAACATGCTTCAGCAACCTTTGTCAATAATTATATATTGAATTATAACTTGCTTCAGCAACCATGGTCAATAATTATATTTCATGAAGTATAAAAAATGCATTACTAAGTAATACAACCTAAAAAAGGAAAGTGTGGTGGGCTTTGTCATTATTTACACAGATTTCTCCTATATTATAATTTTCAAAGTTTGTAAGTTTATATGTAAAATGTTATTTTATTTGTTATATTTTATTGTTATAATAATATTGTTAAATTATATTGTTAAATTTTTTTTTGTTCTTGAAATCTTTTTGAAAAACATTTTGTAGTCATGGCATGAAATCGCTCGAGCTCAGATTCATGGTTATGATATGAAATGTTTAAAGATGATTTCCAGATACAGATTTGCTTCTGGAGCGCAAGAAAAGGTTTTTTAGATTTCAATTATTTTTTTTATTTGTAAAGTTTTGTTTGCTTTTTTTTCTTTTTTTATTTTTATACAAGATACCAATTTACATTTTTCTTCTTTCTGTTTTTTCTATTCTTACACTTGTTTCCTTTTTTTTTTTCACATTAGTTCTCCTTTTTAATTTCTCAGTTCTTTCTTTTTTCACATTAATTCTCTCTCTTTTTTTTTTTTTTACTTGTGTTTTCTTTCCTTTATTTGAACTTTCATTTCCCATTACTTTTCTACGCTTCAATAACTATAAAGATTTTTTTTTTTTTAGTTTTTTGAGTATATACTTACTTGAGTATTTATTTTTATCATATTTTTAGTTTTTTTGAGTTTATACTTATTTTTATCATTTTAATTTATTTGCTTAACAATTACAAGTTGATTTTTTGTTACAAAATTTTAAGTATAGGGAAGAGTTATATAAATTGGAACTCATAAAAAATAAATATAAATAGCCAAAGATGGTTTAACTATGAAAACATTTATGATTTGATTAAAACAATCAGACAACCTTACTATACTTCTAACCATAATTTGGCATGTAATAATTATTTCCAATACATAATTTGTTCCTAGGCAACTGTTGTTAGGCAACTGGTTTTCTAATTTGAACAATTATATTCCTTTATCAGAACTATTGCTTCTTTAAAAAAAAAAAAAACAATAAAATCAACCAAAATTAATTAAAAGCTTTTTTTATTTTTACAATTTAAAACTTGAAAAATTTTAAAAATTTTCAAGAAAAGTAAATTTACTTAATGAAATTTTACAAATGATAAATTGTATAAAAACTATTAATTCATTGCTTTATTTTATTAATTAAAAATTACAAAATAAATTTTTATTTTTTATTATTTTTAAGGCTTATAATTTTAGTTTATTTTTAAATTGAATTCTTTGATTTTATCACTAAGTAAAAAAACTTTATTTTGTTTCATTGCAATATCATGCAGCAATTTATAGGATAAGTTTATTTGTTTCTTGCATTTTAAATCATATTACATTAAACAGGAAAAACTGCATAACCCACAGCAGTATACCCTGTGCAAAATATACAATGTAAACACAAAATTAGATCACCTAAAAATGATGCAAAAAGGCTTTAAATTGATAAGGCACTTGCATTTCGCAAGCGATAACTTTCAAAATCTTTCAATATATATAGAAAATAAGATTTTTAATTAGAAAAATGTAATTTATAGCCATGAAACAATTTATTTCAAAAAAAAATGCCAGTGTTCCAATTAAGGTGCTGTTCCAGTTTTGCAACACTTCCCTTATATATACAATTTAGTTGTATTGAATGCGTATTCTTATTTAAAAGGTGGTACGTATTTTTTCTGCTCCGAAATCATTTTTTGAAAGTTTAAGTCAAATCACTGGTGTGTCAGATGAAGCAGAGGTTTGTTAACTTTTTTTTTTTTTATCACTGTAAGGTTCACCAATGTTTTGTACTAAAAAAACCATTGTTATTATGTTTGTAAAAAGCAATACTTTTATATTAACAAAAAACATTGCTATGTTTGTAAAAAAAATTTAGACATTTCATTATGGCAGGGCTCGAATTAATGCTAAAAAATCTAATAGCAAAAATAAAAACTTTTTTTGACCCCCACCCCTGTTTTCTCTGGCGCGGCTGTGCGGTAAGTAAGGTATGTTAGTATAAAATTGTATCTTTTGTACATTAGTTCACAATTATTATTTTTTAACATAATATCTCTCATATTTAAATGTTATCTCATAATTCAATTCAATATATATTCTGAAATAAGTTGTAAAATTTCAAGGACTTTTACAAATAGTACAAGTCTAAAGTAAATAGTACAAATCTAAAGTAAAAACCTGCAACATTACAATAAAAGTGATCATAATAACAATAATAATAGTATTGATAATGATTATAGAAATAATGTTAACAATAATAATAATAAGATGATGATGAAAAGGAATATTATTAGTAACAATACAATATAATACAATAAAAATAAAGATATTATACAATCAATATTAGATAATAGCAATAATAGTGATAATAACAATTACATAGTATAAGTAGTAAATAAACTTAAGAAAAAAATAAAAAAAGGAATAATAATACTTATTATGTTATAAATAAAAATAACATTTTACTAATAAAGATAGAAAAATATTATTAATATCAATACTAATAATAACAATAAAAATATGATAACAAAAAGTTAATAATAAAACTAGTAGGTATCAAGAGAGTAGTAATAATAAAAGCATAGCAACATATTTCAGAGGCTTCAGGTATAATAAAATTCTTGCTAAAAAATAGTTAAAAAGGCAGTTTTTGAAATTAGTAATTGAGTCAATTGATTTTAATGGTGAAGGTAGCATAGATGAGTTTTTGACTTTATGAAAATCCCGGGAATTTTTTTTTTTGAAAATCCCGGAAAGTCATTTTCATGAAAATTCCGGAAAATCCTGGAAAAATTTAGGGTCAATAAATTGACGAAGGTATGTGGGTAAATTCTGGAACGTTGGTAAAGGGATAAATAAAGAAACTAAAAACTACTCATTAATTATGTTTCTCTAAAATGAAATATAATATCTCAGTTTTAACATAAGCAACCTGCAAAGCGCAATAATATCTTTATATTTAAAATATAAAATGTAAGACAATGGAATAAATGTCAGGAATCAATACTTTTTTTTCTTATAATTTTCTGTTGTGAAGCATTTGTCAGCTTTTCTTTTTCTGCACTTTTTTGCTTGATCAATAATAGATTCTTTAACTTTTTTGCACTGTTCATGTAAGGCAATTTTTTTTTTCCACGTTGAATTTATATTTAAAAATCTTTCTTCAACTTTTCTATTTTTCCGATGGAATTTCATTTTTTTATTATAGCGTTTGCTTGCAGTTTGCAAATGACCACAGATATTTTTGTTAACTGGGTCATGCAATATATCTCGCCTTTTAAAGTACCCTACTGCTGTGGTCTCGTTTGCTAATAATTGATACTTAACTGAAGCTATAGCAGAGTACGTTAAAGTATCAAGACGGTTTGTCTTTTTGTTAACTATGGTGTTCATCATGCTGAATGATTGCTCAACATGAGGACTACTAAAAATACTTAAGCATGCATTGATAATCTTACTAAGCTCTAAATATTTTTTACACTTAAAAACTTCAGCCTACCAATAGTCAAGACGTACGGGCTTCCCATCATCAAATACGGGTGGAAGCGCTATATCTATCTGAAGCTGCATAACTTCTCGATTAAATATTTCTTTATTTATATCTACAGAGGGAAAGAAAGTTGAGAGTTTTCTTAGCATTCTCTCTGTAATTTCGTGACCTTGAGACATTAGGTCAATCGCAGAGAGGCATTTTAATAAAGGGTTGTTAAAGGGTAATTTATTAAGTAAGTAAACTGACGATTCAAGGTAAGCTTTTAGCAAGGTCTTTAAAAACGATGATTTGAAATCAGGATTTCGAATAAGTATTCTTGACAAATATTTTTCAGCATTACTTCCAAGGTATATGTAGTTCGAATGGCGATACATTTTTTTATCTTTCAGGTTTAAAAACTTCAACTTTTCTCCTGTTATATTTTTTATCATCTTTGGCTTAATAAAACAAGTTAAAATTGTTTTCACTAGTTCAATTTGCTCATCATAAATTCGATGGACTAACGGTTCTTTTTGTTCAAAAGTTAAAATGAATGATTTAAAAATAGGAAGAATTTCAACGTACAAATTAATATAAAGTAATGTTTCATTACGTCAGAAAAATACACTTTTAACAATTCTAGCTTTTCTTTCTGCACCTTGTTTTGTTAGTTTTTTCTGCTGCATTTTACATTTTATTTTTTCTATTAGTTTCTTACTTTCATTTGATAGCCTTTTTAAAATTTTGTCACTTTCATCTTTATACAGAGAGATGTCTTGTTTTGATAGCCAAGAAGAATAAATTAAGGTGAAAGCAGGCATCATCTCAAGCATAGGAAGAGTGCAGTCTAAAACAGACAACCATCGATGACAAACCCTTTGCTTTGGAGTGTTGTATGTGACACCTGTGATTTGACAGATTTTTTTCAGAAATGTACGAAGATCTAGGCTATATTTAAAATCAATGTAGATATCATCCAGTAAGTTTTCAACTACCTTGCCGAAAAAAGAAGTAAATTTTTTGACAACATTATGCACATGATGACAAATATCACCATCAATATCAAGTAAGTGAGGAACCGCTTTTCTTAACCTTGTTTCAAACCCACTGATTTTTCCTCTCATATAATTGGTAGAATCTGATAAATTGGAAACAAGATTACTTAATGGAATTGCGTATTTGTTAAATAAATGAATAACAGCATTAAAAAGACTTTCGGCATTTACCGTAACAAGCGATAATGACGCGTAGTGCTTTAATACAACTTTATTAGTTTTGTCGCAAAAATATGCTACGAGTATACTGAGAACCTTCTCATTTTTTGCCGAGAAGCACTCATCTATGTTAAGGGAGAACATTTTTATTTTCATATCAAAAACAAGCTCAGCATGAAAAGCTTCACCTAATCCTTCTCGCAACTTATACGAAGCAGTTGTTCTGAACATTTTCAAATTTTTTAAAACACGATGATCTTTAGACATTTCCTTTGCGTATTCAATCATATGGGATGTTAAAGATATTGGAAGATTGTGTTCACAAATAAATGCGAGTGTCATAGCTTCTGCATTTGATATCCTGTCTCTAAAACTTACAATAGGTTTAATGGTAGGCTTTACTCTCTTTGTGCAAGTACTGCCAATATGCACGTTATCCGGAGTGCCATATGGCAATATACACATATCTGTTTTTTTTAAATTAGTAAAAAATGACAACGATATGGCTTCGTTGGACTTAATCATTGCGCAGTTTTGACGATGCATTTTAGACTTTGAGTGGCTGAGTAAAGATTTTTTACCTTCACTTCCATAATAAAAGTCTTTATTACATATTGTACATTGTACCTAAAACATCAAATCAAATAATATATAACTATGATGAACTTATATATTTCAGTGTTCAGTTAGTGAATAAACTTACCGCTCCGGCTTTATTTATCTTTGTAATATAGGCTGAATAATGCTCATCATTATAGTCTTTCTCTTGAAGCCAATTCCAGCGAAACTTGTTTTTAATATTTTTGTCTATCTCAGAAATGTCAGATAAACTCTTAACTTGCATTTTCTTTTCTTTCTTCTTGATAGTAATTTTTAACGACAAGATCTTTTGCAAACGTTTAAAACAGAATTTACATCAATTAACTTCTTAAGAAAAAGAATTTCTAATATTCGAAAAAGTTAATTTGAATGAATTAAAAAGAAAAAAATTTTTTGAAAAAATTGATCTCGTGAAAATTTCATTTATAGAAAACATAATTGCTTAAATGCAAACCATGTCGTATTTAAAATTTTATATAACTTTTTACAAATCAATAGCAAAAAGCATCCGGAATTTCCAGGAAACTTGATGTGAATTTCCGGAATTCCCGGAAAAAACTCATCTATGAGGTAGACTGTTCCATGATTTTACACTTTCGTATTTTATGGATTTTAGACCATATTTTACAGAAGAATGATTTGGTACATAAAGATTATAGCTATTAGCAGATCGTAGATGATAGCGACAGCTTTCTCTAACAGTAAAAAAATTTGTAAATGTGCTGGGTAGACATTTTTGATTATAATTAAAGACAAAATGGCAATTTAATAGTTGAGCTAGATCATCAATTTTGAGTATTTTGGATAAAAAATAAAGATGATCGGAGTTAGATTGATAATGCTGAAAATATATTATTTTTAATGATTTGTTTTGTAAGTTGGATAATCTTAAAATTTCTTGGGTGCGGATTTGTCCCCAAACTTGAGACGCATACCTAAGATGTGATCCAAAAATGGCATGGTATATATTGATAAGAGTTTCAAGATTGACATAATGACGAATTTGAGCTAACATCCCATTTGATCTACATAGTTTTATTGACAAGTCCTTAAGATGTTGAGAAAATATATATTTTCTCATTAGGCGGAGTTTAAAATAGCGTAACTCGCTACTAAAAGTTTAAGTTGTAGTTATAGTGTAATGAACAAGTAATAGTGTAATGAGAAAGTTATAATGTATTGAGTATCATATTTAATACTATGATTATATTACTTTTATTAGGGTAGATTGGTAAGCTCTCTTATCAAACCTCTATTCCGACGGTCTCCTTTAAGTCCGCAAACATGAAAAAGATTAATCTTTCAGTTCAAGACAACCTGCCCAAACCCAAACCCTCAGTCGATGTATGCACACTCACTGTGGCTGTGGCTATATAACATGTGATACCTAGAAATCCGGACAAAACTAAAAAACTTATAACTTTGAGACTAAAGGTGCAATTTTATTTCTGTAAAAAGATAATTAAAGTTAAGCATATGAAGCTTCAGACTTAAAAAAATTAAGTTTATCACGCCATGTCTACGAACGTTGTCCACTTGGCTGAAAGAAGCCTTGCCACGTCGATGTACGCAATCTTGACTGATCTGTTTTATGCAGTAGTTGATCCTGTCAGTGAGCTGGTCAATGGTTTTTGCTCTCCAGCCATTATCATATACTCTTCGTTTGAGTTCTGACTAAAAGTCATATACTCTTCGTTCTGACTTTTTTTGCGTAATGAGACGTAGGGAGGTCAGGCCAGAAAACCATCTCGTCGTTCTTATGAACTGTTTCGATGAACGGAATCAAGCGCTTCATCAAGCACTTCTAGATGTAGACATCTTGATAGATAGCTTGGCCTGAAGGTATCACCAGGTGCTTCGACAGGCCGTCGTCGAACATAGCAACCCAAACAAGTTTTTGGCTAGAACTTGGACTTTCGCTTGAGTTAAACAGCTTCTGGAGTCATTTCAACGTTAGATGTGTAGAAACCAGCGTTTCCAGATAGCTCGTTATTGTTCAACGAAAACTAGGACTTGTCGTCGATGATCACCTGATTTATCAGGAAAACTCTGTCCAGGTGGGCACACTTCGGACGAACAGCTGACTTCTGTTGTGGAGTTCGATCCGGAACTTTTTCCTTCTTTTTGTATTTGATTATTGTCTTGATATTATTTGTTTTTGATATGTGCTTTTGGCTGATACCATACTCTCAGGCTAGCTGATGCTGGCTAACTCTGTCACTATGATTAATTCGCTTTTTCAGTATGGTGATTCGCTTTGCGTTTATCTTAATTGCCACACGTCCAGTTCAACGCTGTCTTTCAGGGCCTATATTGAGCGTCTTGCGCTGCAGAATATTACACAGGGTCGACCTTGATGTGCCTTCGATCATGAAGTGTCTCACAATCATAATGATGTATGTACACTGTGATGAACCTATCCTTATATATTTGGGCCCCCGAAATTATTTCTTAAAAACACAAAGGTTTTAAAAAACTAGCAAAAGTGCTCATATTACCCAGACCACTTGGTAATACGGGCACTTAAATAGCTGGAAAAAAAAACATTAATTAAATGAAAAAGTATCATCGTGATAATTAGAATTAATTTGTGGAATATATTGATTTGTTATTAGCAAAACTTGTTATTAAAAGATGAATTTTATACTACTTTTTATTGAATTAATACTACTTTACTTTACGCAAAAAAATTATTTTTTTAATTTTATTAACTCAAACCTTTAAACAATAAAATTACAAATTTTTTGAATTTAGATTATAAAAAGATATTTAGTATTGTCAAAATATCAAAGAACTTTTACTATGTTTTGTTTTTATTTAAAAATAAGTTATAACCATTGCAGTTTTAAGATTTTAAACAAGGTAATTTCAATAAAAAACACAGGGTAATTTGAGCATGTAATATAATTACACAAAAATGATACCTTTGATTAAAGTCAAAACTAAATGTTTCTATGCATTGTTTTTCAAACAAAGCTAACATATATTTTTTTTTTTTATTAAATTTCATTATTTTAATATCAAAGTTTCACGCCACAGATTCATTCATGTGTGATGATATATTTTAACAGCGCATAAAATTTAATAGAGTTTTAAATAGGAACCTCTAATTACTGCATGAAAATTTAGGCTAATTATACTGATTTCTGTTATCACCACATAACGTGGATTTAAAAAATACAAAGCAATAGTACAACTAATACAAGCAACTTCACTGCTTACATCAAAAAAAGAAATATTTTTACATGCTTTTTTTTTTATATATATGCTTATTTTTTTTACTTTATATCTATACGCTTTTTACTTTATATCTATACGCTTTATATCTTTTAACAAAACAGGTAGAAGCAAAAAACATCATTTTTTCTAATTTATTGCTTTTTGATCTATTTTACTATTAAAAATTTAGGTTAAATTAATTTTTTCATTCAAATGGTTTTTAAGTTGATGTTTTCATTCATTTTTTTCGTTCAAATTGTTTTGTAATAAAAAATAAATTATTGAAATTATTTTTTTGGAAAAAAATTTCTGAAGTGAAAAAAAAAAAATCTTTTTTAATTTAAATTTTTTATAATTTAATTTTCGATTTGTTTGCAATCATCTACTTTAAAAAACTATTTTCAAGAAACAAAAAAATAATTAATAGGCTAATTTTAAGGCCTATATATGCCATTCAGTCATATACAGTGCTTGAAATAAGCCTATTGCAAATTGTGATTCACAAGAGCTGTATATACAGGCATATACAGGGCTTGAAATAAGCATATTGTGAATTGCAAACTAAAAAAATATTTGTAAACAATCTTTATCATACCACAATGCACAACTCATATCGCACAACAATATAGGTATTTGTGTTTATTTACACAACATCATAACCTAAAATATAAATAATTTAATAATAAAATGGTATTAACTCTTTAGTCTGTAGTAGGTTTTAATCAAAGGTTGATAAAAGCAGTATAGGATGGCAAATACAATTGTGATATTGTGGATTGTTTTTAATCAAAGGCTGATAAAAGCAGAATGGGATGGAAAATATGAGTGTGATACTGTGGAGTGTTTAAGTGGAAAATATTCTACAAAAAAATTAAGGAATGAAAACCTGTTCTCAAAATGTTTATTCTTATAAATATAAATAATAGTACTTTGAATTCATTAAAGTATTCAATTTATTTTTATTTATTAAATTTTGTTTAAAAAAAATATTTTTAAAAAACTTTTAAAGAAGTTTTTTTTGTTCATTAACATTTTTTATTGTTTATTTGATTACAAATACTCATTAGTATTATTCTCATTTTACTACATTCGTATTACTACATGTTGTATTTTTCTTTTTTAACAATTTTGTTTTAAATAAACAGTACAATCGAATTCTAATTTGAATTTTATAGTTTAAAAGATTTTTGAATTATAAAAAGTTGACTTTTTTCTTTAAATATTGTGGTTTAAGTAACATGTAGAAATGAAACCAACAAAAAAATATTCTTAGGCCTAAATGCAATATACATGTCAGAGATTGTAGATTATTTTTTATGAGTTGTAAATTTTATGTATATATGTAATAAAAACTGTACTCAAAAACTACTTTATTCTAACTTTTATAATAATTGAAAAACTTTTAAAGTCATGTCCACCTTGAGTCAATTGTACAATTAAATCATTAAAAGTCATTAAAAGCATTTTAGTCATCTCAAAAGATAGAATAAATTCCGACAGAAGATAAATTCTTAAAGTAGCATTTTTAGCAATTTTTATTATTATTGATTGTTTATTTCTTTTTTCAAAAAAACAGTCATAAAAAGTAGTCTAATGCATATCTATATACATTATAGTATATATACTATATATATATATATATATATATATATATATATATATATATATATATATATATATATATATATATATATATATATATATATATATATACACACACACATACATACATACTCATTTAAAATTTCTTAGATGTTTGCAAATGCTCCTTTAGGAGCTACAGTTCCAGTGCTTGGTCTTTCAAATAAAGCTGTATATTTAGGTTAGAGTTATATTTTTTAGAATTTTGTTAAATAAATACAATTGTATTCCTTTATTAAGTTAATAATGTAAATATTAAATAATACTAATAATAATAAATTAAATAATACTAATAATAAATAATAATAAAAATAATAAAAAAAGGCTTTGAAAATTGAAAAAATATTTTCATTTTTTATTATTCATTTTCTGTAAATATAACATTATTTTTGGGCTGTTATGCCACAACTAATCTTATGCAAAGTTATAAAGTTAGAAAAACTGAAGGTTCATTAGATATTTATTATAATGTTAAATATTATATTTTTTTAAAGAAAAACAAAACTCTTTGTATATATAGTTAATAAGCATAATTTTTTACCTCAATGTTTTTTATAAAATGATCATTATTTTTAAGATTTCCATATAATTTCGCTTCTTTTGAAACCCAACATGATATACTTTTTAAGAATTATTTTTTTGATAATTATAGGGACCCATCTGATGTTAAGAGACTTGGGCTACCCTTAAAATTATTTATTCAAAAATTTTTAATTCTGGTGTGTTATAAATGTGATTTATATAGTTTTATTATATAAAATACATTTAGAGGGTGAGAGCAGACACTTTTAAAAAAAGTTGTTTTATGGACCACCCTATATATATATATATATATATATATATATATATATATATATATATATATATATATATATATATATATATATATATATATTTTTTTATATATATATATATATATATATATATATATATATATATATATATACACGCACACACACACACACATACATACAGTGGAGAAAATAGAATTAGCCTCACGATGTTCTAAATCAATATTTTGTAAATCTGTAAGTAAATTTGTGCGGTGGATATTTTGTATCCACACATAATTTTTTTTACAAACAACAACATTTAAGATTATAATATAGCATAATTAAATTTAAAAAAATTGCGGTACATTTGATGAAACCATAAAATGTATGATACTTGATATTTGCTATAACAAATAGAATTCTCATCATCAATAAGCCTCATCAATAAGTCTTTTCAATTTAGTTGTATATTTTAATCTGGTGATTATGCTTTTGTGACTCAAGTTTTTATTATTTGTAAGTTAAACAAAGACTGTAAAATCAGTGCTCATAAAGTTTTTAATATTTGGTTTTTGATACCTAAATTTGAAATGGTATGTGGTATGTGGTAAATGGTATGTGGTAAGCGTTTAAATAATGAAGAAATAATCAAACCATACAAAGATACAAGCTTATCTAATCAGAAAATTGCAATGATAATTAAAAGGTCTCTAAAAGTGGTTAATAATTACTTCAAGATGGGCGTTAAATATGGAGCTTATAAGGGAAGTTGTTGCAAATGTAAAATTGATAATTGTACTAAAGGAGCTTTTGTACGTCGTGCTGTTGCTCAGCACATGACAACATCTTGAACTCGTGCTGATTTACAATTAGGGATCATCCATAATGTACGTACGCTCGGAGAGGAAGAGGAGGTCTGCAAATGGAGTTTCTGAGATAAGGGGGCAGTAGGTCAATTATAAAAGTGTGGAGACACTAAATTAAAAAAAATATCATAAAATGTTGGGTTAGTAGGATAAAAGTGTAGGTACTTTTAGGGAGGTAGAGAGTACTCAAAAAAGCGTACGGCAAATTGCAGGGGGGTGGCAAAAAAAAACGTACGTACTTTATGGACGACCCCTTACCTGTAACTGTTCAATGTGTGAGACAAATCTTACATGATGATCCAAATACAGTTTGGAAAAAACTTAAACCAAAACCAAAACTTACTGTTTGTCATAAAGAAGGTAGATTACAATTTGCAAATTGCAAAAGAACACATATTTTGGTAGAAAGAGTGGCATGAAGTTCTCTTTAATAAAAAAAAAAAGTTTAATCTAGATAGCCCTGATGGCTATCAATATTACTGGCATGATCTTCGAAAAGAGGAAGAAATTCGGATTAGTCGTAACTTTGATGATGGAGCTGTTTTGGTTTGGGGGGCTTTTTCATTTGCTGGAAAACTTCCACTGCCATGAATTTTAACATATATGAACTCATAGGACTACATTAACTTATTAAAATTATTAGGAAATTATTAGAAACTTATTAGAAATTATTAGAAATTAGTTTGCTTGGACATGGTGAAGAATTGATGGGTGAAAATTTCACTTTTTAACAAGACAATGCTGCTATCCATAATTCAAATCTTACAAAAGCTTAGTTTCGAGAAAAAATATTAACGTATTGGAATGGCTTGCATGCAGTCCAGATCTAAACCCAATTAAAAATCTACAAGGAATACCTTCTAGAAAGGTTTATGGTAAGCAACTTGAATCCACATTGGAGCTAAAAACTCGTATCAGAGAAGCTTGGAGTCAAATATCTATAGAAACTATCCAAAATTTTGTGACTAGTATGTCAAGTCGTTTATTCAAAGTCATTAAAAATTCAGAAAGCAGTACTAAATGTTAATTAAGCGTAAAAAAAAAATATTTTCTGTATTTTCTTGTAAATAATGTAAATGAGGCTAATTCTGTTTTCTCCACAAGTTAATACTTTTCCATTTTTTTCCATTTGTAATTAATTAAGCATACCAATTTATAATTTTTTTAATTGTAGTAGAAGATAATAAGAAATAAAGTAGATTTAAAATTTCACTGCCATTTTTGTTAAATTAAAACAAAAAATAAAAGTTTTTTTTTAGAAGCTAGTTCTATTTTTTCCACTGTATATATGTGTATATATATATATTTATATATTTATATTTATTTATTTATATATATATATATATATATATATATATATATATATATATATATATATATATATATATATATATATATATATATATATATATATATATATATATATATATATATATATATATATATATATATATATAGGCTTTCACAGGAAGACGTGCGATTTCACGTCTTTATATGACCACGCAAGTTACATTTTACTATGACCGTTTTATCGCGGCTAATTCGAAATACATTTTAGAAATGCGCTAAATAAAAAATATTCTAAAAAAGTGAAATTAATTACATCAAAACTTCTTAACAAATGTTTTTATATTAGCGAAACGATTTTAAATAAAGTAACAATTTACTGAAAAAAAGTTTTGTTTTTTAAATATAATTGACAGTTGTATATATTTTTTTAATTTAAAACATATAAATTGTTCAAGTGTTCATTTCTAAAATAAATCTTATTAAAAAATAAAAAATTCTTTTGTTTTTATAAACAATGACATTCTACGACTACGAAAGTCTCTTTAACGAATTTAAATATAAGAATGATTAAAGTTAATGCATTTAAAAAGATAAACAAAATTTCATTAAGAAAAAAAAGTTTTAGAAAACCGTTACAATTTAATAAGTTTGATCTTAAATGCTTTTATATTATCGAAACGCTTTTAATGAGGTAAAAAAAAAACACTTTTAATTAATTTTAAAAAAAGTATTAATAAAATATTTTTTATTTTATTTATATAACTATGTACTTTTTATGAGAAATATTTAACTTTTGAACATATTAAATAAATAAAAAATATATAAAAATGTTGAAACAAAGATTGAAAAGGTTTTTTAATGCGTAATTTAAATAGACTAAGCATTTTAGTTTGATGAGTTGCGTTATATATATATATGTATTTATTTTTTTTGTGTTTTTGCTTTAACTAAGTATTTTTTTTTTATTTTCTCTTTCGTTAATATTTATTATTTTTTTTAATTTTTTTTTCAGATAAGTTTAGGTAAGTTTTTGTAGCGCGTTTTTAAATTTTAAAAAAATGCCGTGGTCAAATCGTTAAAACATTTTTTTTTTTGCGTGGTCATATAAAGACGTGAAATCGCACGTCTTCTTGTGAAAGCCTGTGATATATATATATATTATATTATATATATATATATATATATATATATATATATATATATATATATATATATATATATATATATATATATATATATATATATATATATTTATTGCGAGCTGGTGGCATGTGCAAAGGTGGCAAATTTTAGATTAACAGGAAATGCCAAAAAAATGTTGTTCTAAATTTAATCATTATTAAGAGCAGAATTTTTTTTTTTTTAATTTTATTTAGCAATTATCTTCTCTTATAGATGATTTAGAAAGTTGGCAACAAAAAGGTGAAAAAGTTCAAACTAAAGCATCAACCTTTGCTAATGAAGATCCTGCTCCCTTTAATCCTGATCTTATTAAGAATAATGGTAAATGTTGATTAAATATTTTTTTTATTTTTGAAAATTTATTATTCAATATCCAAATGTTAAATTTTATTTAGTTTCATTGATTTACTTGATAAATAAGAATTGATTGATTACTAAGTTGTTTGCATGCACCCAAAGTTGTTTACATGCATGCTAAGTTGTTTACATGCACCCAAAGTCGTTTGCATGCACCTAAGGTTGTCTACATGCACCTAAAAGATGTTTGCATGCATTCAAAGTTCTAAGAATGTGACTATGTAAACTCAATTTTTATCTTTATAAAACTAAAAAAAATAATGTTTTATGTATGTATTTAAACTTTTTATGATCACACAGTTAATATAAAATTTCTGTATAATGTATATTCATGTATATACATGTATATACATGTATATACATGTATATACATTATACAGAAATTTTTATAATGACATTATAAAAATTTATAAACATGACATTAATCACAATCTTGATATAAGATTACCAAGATAATCAAGGGTGTGGGTTATTAGTCATTTTTTATTATTTACTTTCTAATTATTCTGTGATTTTCGAATCCACTACAGAGGTTATTTTACTTTTTCTTTTTCTTTTTTTTTTTTTTTTTTTGCTTGGTGGGAAATCGGCTAACGAATAGCCAGCTATAATTGTAACAATAAAGAAAAGCTATCGATATTTTTAAAGATAAAACAGCGATTTGGCTACGAGGATAGCTAGCTAAATAATCTAAAGACCCACTGGCTATTGTAGCTAGCGTCATATTGTAATAAAATCGCTGTCTGAAAAATTTTGATATGTTGTTGCAACCAGCTACAGATTTGTAGATATTTTGTAGCTAGCTACAAATCTACAATATGTAGCTTTGCAACATATTGTAGCATAGCATGTGTAACACATTGCTACAAAATCTCAATGTTTAAAGTTCAATTCCTCTCTTAATTATAATAGGCTCAACACTAAAAATTGAATTTTTAAAGATGTTAAAGACATTAGGAAAAAATAAAATAAGAAAAAAAAATCGCTTGAAAATCGCTATTAAGCTGGCTAGTCGCTAGCTCATTTCCCACCGGGTATCATGGTGTATGGACAAATTATTACTAATTATACCTATTATTAGGAGTTTTCACAATTTTAAAAAATGTAAGCAAAATATATCTTTGCAACAAAACTTATTTAAAAATTAACAACAACAAAATAAAAAGGATTTAAAAATCTCTTTAATAAAACTTAAATTAGTTACGTAAAAGTTAGTAAAAAGTTCAGTAAAAGTTAGTAAAAAATTCAGCATGGTATGCTTTGTCTGAGTCTATCATATAAACCTAAAATCTCGGATAATGTAGAGAAAAGACAGCACAATAAACGAAAAATAATAAAGGTTTTGACTGTTATACCCCTTTTCAACCGAGGGTTTGTCACTTATTTTTATTGTTTATACTCCTCAAAATAATTAATAAAATTGCAACAGAGTTTTGAGGGTGTTGATCCCATGGTTTACTGAAAAATGTGTCACTGACCCCAAGGTTCAGCTTTACAACTGATAAATATTATAAACTAAAGTTTGCAAAATTTATTTAAATGCTGTTGTACATAAAATTGAATAAATAAAAAAAAAATTAAAAAACTTAAGGTAAATGGGTAACATAAGGTAAAACATAAGGCAAATGCAATATTTAACAAAAATATAAAAAGCTTTTGTATATTATGAAACAAAGTAAAAAACAATTGCAGTCCATAGTAAAACTCAACCAAGTCAGAAACTAAACAGAAAATACTTTAAATATACTAATAGTTTAATATAAAAAGCAAGCAAATATATAAAAAGCTTGTGTATAATTTAAGAGAAAAAACACAACGACCTTTTCATCTAAAGTTCTCTTCAGCAACATTTTCTCGCGTTTGTGAAAAAAAACTCATGCATCATGGATTTCAAATAAGATTTAAAAGTTATTTTTATGAATTCGTTTAATTCTTTTTAATTTAGAGCCACCTGTAGAAGACTTGTTATCACATAATACACTATGGCCTGAAACGCAAAAGTTGTAAGTTTTAATTCATTGTTGTTACATGTTTTAATACCTATATATGTTTGTAGGCTTATCTTAATTCAGGTATGGCCATGGATTTGAGTTGTACTGTCTGACATCAACACCTATAGGTGACATATTAGCCACAGCATGCAAAGTAAATTTCTTTATTTATTTCATTATTTAAAATATTTTTCATGTTGTTTTTTTTTAATATTTTTTTATTATAAGGCCTCTAAACCTGAACATGCAAGTATTATTATATGGAATGCGTTGACTTGGAAACAGACTGATACTCTAACATTTCATACATTAACTGTCACTCAGATGGAATTTTCTGTCAGTGGAAAATATTTGTTGTCTGTATCAAGAGATCGTTTATGGGCAGTTCATGTTCGCAATGATGATGATAAATTTTCACTTGTTCAATGCACTGATAAAAAAACCAGCATTCATACACGAATTATTTGGTCTTGTTCGTGGTTTGTTGATGAAAACTATTTTGTGACTGCATCGAGAGATAAAAAAATAATTGTTTGGAGCCGTAAAAATGATCAGTGTAAATGGGAATCAGTTGATACATTAGATGTCGGCGAATCAGCTACTTCAGTTTGTGTAGATAACAAAACTGTTTGCGGAAGGTTTATTTCTTTTGTTTTTAAACTTAAAGTGTTCGATTAAAAAATTTGAAATATTTAAGATATTGTAAGTTTTATACTTACAGATATTGTATGTGAAAAATTAGAGATATTGTTAATTAAATGTTTAAGATCATGCAAGTTGAAAATTTGAGACGTAAGTCAGATATTTAAGATCTTGCTAGTTAAAAATTTGAAATTTAAGTTGGATATTTAAAATTCTTCTAGCTGAAAATTTGTGATGTTGTAAGTTAGATATTAAAGTAATTCTAAGTTTAATATTACAGATATCTTAAGTTAAATATTTAAGATATTTCAAGTTAAATATTATGATAATAAATAATATATAGAAAATAAGAAAGATAATAAATAATAAACAAATACAAGAATATGATGTCATAAAAGTGCAAATAAAGCATAAAAGAAAAAGTTTACAAAGTTTAACCAACACTAAATTGTTGTTGTTAAATGTTGCCATTATTTTTTTTTTTTTTAGGTATGTTGTTGCTGTTGGCATGGAAACAGGTGCTATACAAGTATACTCTTGGATTGATAAAGAAAGCTGGAATTTAATTTTAAAATTAAGTACATCGTATCTTTTCCAAGTAACTTAAGAATCTATTATTTTTCTGCTAATCTTAGTGCTCAGTCCCTTTAAACGATTGTAAAAATAAATCTTGAATTTTAGCAACGCATAAATAAGATACTGCCTGATTAATGGTCAACTGACCATTATTAACCATTATTATACATTTTATCTGAAATTATTTGTTGGTTGTGTTGATTTTTGTTTTAATTAGTGTTGTGAGGAAAAATTTTGCTTTTTTTTTCATCAAATGTTTCATTTTTTAGTTGTGTTGCAAAAATGTTTTGTTTTTTTTTATTTTACATAAAAAAAATTTTTGCTTGTACATTGTTAAAAATATTAACCATTTTTGTTTATATACTCGCACAAGTCGCTGCAGCGCGCTGCAAAACTGGGCAGTTTTGTTACGAAATTTAATAGGCGTTAGCATGTTTTTAAGTTTAAGTCGTTCAACCACGTATGTAAACAAAAATGGTTAATATTTTTAACAGTGTAGATTATTTTATGATTGTTTTGCTTAAAAAGAACTAGGGTGGTTCTGAAATGTGAAAGCGTATAAGGTGCGCAGTCTTGTTTTATATTATTTTTTAATTGATTAAAGGTTCAAGGGGGTTGTATAATCGACGTAATCGTTTTTTTGGATTTTTTTCTTAATCACAATAATATAAAAAGTAATAATTAGGCACTCATAGTTTTATTTTTATTTTTTTATTTATTATGCTAGAAATCCTAAAAAAATTTTAATAGTTTAAATTTTTGTGTTTTTTAATGTTTTAATATTTTTGTGACTCCAGTGTTTCCTCATTGTTTGCTAATGTCATGTTAAATGTTCACTATGTTTTAATAGGATCAAGGATAGCTTGATAAAATGAGCATTGGTAAATATGTTGATCACAAAATTGTTTTCTGCAATTTTATTATTTTTTTGGCCCTTGTATTATTTATATCTTATGTATTATGATTTTTACAAATGAAAGGTATAATTCGTTTAAAAAGAAAAATAACAGTATTGAAAGATTCTTGGGAAAATGAAAATATGCGCCATAAAATCTCATCATTTTCAGCCAATTGTACAAACAGGGTTATGAACTATTACGTCATGATGATTACATATGAAATATTACATCGTGATGATTACATATGAACGATCACGTCATGTGTAAGCTAAAACTATGGCTTTCAATCCGTTTCAATGTTCGTAGAATTCTTAAATCTTAGCTTAAATAGGGTGGGGTCGAATAGTATGGATAGAATTTTAAATTATTTTTTTTTAATATAATTTTTCTTTAGTTAATAACCACCATAAAAACTTTTGTTATTTTTTTTACATTTACAATAACTTCACAATGAGTAGAATATAAATATATTTTCAATAACTAATTTACTAATCCTTTTTTGCCAACACCTTTCATATATCCATACAACCCCACTGGTGGTGTATTACGGATGCTGTAGGATCTGTACGTAAACCTGTTGCATCTAAATTAAATATGCAAATTGGTCTATCGAATATCATTTTAATGTCTTCTCGCATTACTCAAAGAAATCTGTCAATATTTTTAGAGAAAGATCGTTCTTTTGTCAAAAGTTTAGGTTTTCTTTTTCCAAGAACTTTATTTTTTCTTTTCCGGGCTTGTTTTCTTTAAATTGATTTTTTTTGCCAGTAAATGTTATATAGAATTTAACTATCAGTTCGATATTTTATTTATCTCTTGGTAAAACCACCTTATCAGTTAAGTACATCAGGGCTTTTGCTAGAAGTTTTTTTCTCAGTATTACTTAAAACAAACCCACAGCCCCTTTCAATTATTTTTTCATTCCTTTGGATTTGATCATGGGATTGTCTTTATGTCTCATAAAGAATTCCAGAAGACTTTGATTTATTGTATACTGACACCCCTTCCTTAACAAAGTGTATGGCAGACATTAATTTGCTGTGATCATATATGCCAATAGTCTTGCGTTGATATTTACGAGTCATGATTTATTTCATTCTTATTATTTTATAGACTGAAATAAACTTTATTTCATAAAGTTTATTTTAGTCTTATTATGTCTAAAATGTTATATAATAAACTTTAATTATATAGTAAACTAAAATATAATAAATATATGATTTAATTATAAAGTAAAGAGGAATACAAAAATAAAATTCAAAACACTTAGATGGGAGTTAATCCACATATAAACTTACCCTTGCTATTCAAGGAAATTTGAACTTAATGTAAGTAATTATATATCTTAACGTAAATAGTTCAATAGCATGAAACTAATGAAGTAAAATATAAAACTATTATAAGTAACTGAAAAATGTATAATTCTATATTAATAAGCAAAAGTGAACATAGTTATATAAATAAATGTCATGTAGCTTATTATTTTGTAATAAAATTTTAAAATGTTAGGAGGATTTTATATATTTTATATATATATCCATTTTACCCCGCTATAATTTTACCAGTATATTCATTTTCACTCCATTTTTATATTTTTATTTATCAATATGGGTTAGAAAACTTATGAATTAAATTTTATATGTTGTTACATCATGGTCCAACTAATAAATTTACATCATTATACTTTAATAAGTAATATTACTGAAGTCTGTAGACAAAGGTTTTAAAACGTAATGTTTTTTATATTATTTTACAAAATAAGAAGTTTTACATTTTAACTATTCGTATAAATCAATTATAAACATTGTTAATGCCAAAAAAAAAATCTAATTATGTGTGTAAACTGTTGGTAATTTTCAGGTTTTAGCATTATGATAACTTACTCCATGCATACTTATCAAATATATCATATTACCCTAACTATCTATATTACACCACCCTAATTTATATAGTTATTCTATTACTGTTTCAATACTCTTTACATATTTTCATAAAATTAAGTACTTATACGGTGTAGTATTTGCGAGAGAAAAGATGACCATCCGATGGACGTGGTGGTACTCTAACAAGACATGTAAATAAGCTCTTTTCTTAGACAGATCTTAGAGATCTGTTAGATTTAGTAAAAGTTACTCAACTAGCCACGCCCTACTCAAGTTGATAAATCTTTATAATAACAAACCTTAAACAAGTAATTCAAATATCGTTGATAAATCGTTGAATAATTCAATATAGTTGATAAATCGTTGAATAATTCGATATAGTTGATAAATCTTTACAATAAGAAAAACAATGGAGTTTTTTTTTTTTTTTTTAGTTTTTGTGTGTGTGTGTGTGTTCTTATAAGTTATCATTGTTAAGTAAAGAAAATAACACATAATGTCAAATGTTGAAAAAAAGTCTAAAAAATTTTTTTTTAATCTTCTATAAAACAAGAGTTTGCGCACCTTAAAAACAAGAGTTTGCGCACCTTATAAGCTTTAACTCTATTTCGGTTTTGTTTTGTTTTTTAACTAATTTTCAACCACTAGTGTTTGTGTATTCAAATTCTGGAACTCCCTAATATTTATGTATTCAAATTCGAAGCTCCCTAATATTATTGTCTGTAAATTCTGAAGCTCTCTGATATTTATGTATACCAATGTGTGTATAAATTATAACAGTAATTTTTTTTAACTTGTTCAATAGTATGTGTCCTACGTTATCGATTAAACGACTTCGTTGGAGACCTGGTCATGATGAAAGGCAGCAGGCAGGCAGGCAGCTAGGAGTTGCAGCATCGGATCATACTTTTAGAATTCTTAGTTTTAATTTGTAATATTTTATCTATAGTATTATAAATATTTATAAAATTTGAATTTAATTTTGTAGTGTGTTTTCAAATTCTGTTGTCAGATATTTGTTTAAAATTAAACATCGCTTATTTTTTAATCACGGTACTTCTAAATTAATAACGTATCTAACGTAACAATAACCTTGCCTTCTGATCCGAAAATAAATATGACGTTATTAATTTATTAATGTTTTATAATGTCAGATTTATATAGGAAATAAATGTTGTAAAAATAAAGATGTTTAAATGTCATAAAAAGTAAAGAACTTTAAAAAAAAAATGAATATGAACCTCATAACTTAATAGATTCTTCTGTGAATCATAATTGAATGGATTACAAAAAAATTTTTAAAATCATTCAAAATAATTGAAGGTAGCATGAGAACAAAGAAAAGTAATTGACTTACTTTTTTATTAAAAGCAAATATAATTAAAGTGGAAAAAAGATAAGTTAAAGTTATGGGTAAACTTTTGTCTTATTTACGCAGTTGTTATGGACAATTTTATGATAAAATATTTTGAAGCAGATTATAAAAAAATTTTAGTAAGCCCCTTTTGAAAAATAGTTTTCTCAGTATTTTGTTAAGTTTTTTTTTTATAACTATAAGTAGCAACTATGATCATTTGTTTTCAAAATTTTCTAAAACTGTTTTATCTTATTTGCTAAGCATAATGATGTTGATTGCCGTAGCAAGCTTTGTTTAAGGTTAAACATAATTTTATCCTTATTCCTAAAAGGGGTGGGGGTGTTTTGAAGAAAGGGATGGGACGTTTTTTAATATCTATTAAATGGTTCAGGGTAACAATATCAGTTTTTGCTGTCCAGCAACATCTGTAAATACTCTGCGGTATAATAACATCTGTCCAACAAAATTTGAAATTTCATTGGTGTCTAATAACATCTATGGAAAAAGTATATGATTACTAGAGATGTTGTTACATCTTTTTAATTATATAAATGTAGTTATTTTAGTTATTTCTTATGTATTTCCATCTGCTGAGTTCAAATATTACATATTAGCTGTAGTTTAAAAAATAAAAGCAAAAATTTTCTCTCGAGACAAGGGTTTAATTAAGCGATCGCTAAATAAAAAATCCGGAAAAATATCTGGCCTTCAAAATTTTAGTTTACGCAAAACCGTGTAATTTGTTTTCTAGAGGCGAATCAACTTAAATTTGTTAGGGAAAAAGTTTTAAAATATAAAATAATAAACTTACGACTGCAAAAGTAATAACACTCTAGTATTAACTGCATTATAAAAGTAAAAACACTATAATAGTGTAATTACTTTTAAAACGCGCTTATAACTTTTATAATTCATTCTTAGTTCAAACAACATAAGTAATCCCAAATTTTAATTTAAGTAGAAAAGCATCTAGAAAAATAGAGTGGATATTCAAATAATATTTAAAACTTATTAAAAAACTTAAACAACTTAATGTCTGGAGTTTTATTACATTTATAATCGTAAGTTTATTTTTTTGTTTTGTTTTTTAAAACTTTATAGCAAACAAACTTATTTATTTCGTCATATATAAGCATTTTACAATGTTCTTGTTTTCAAGTTTAATAAAATAAATCAAAATATAAAGAATGACAGGAGCAAGTAGAAGACATAAGTCATGTCGTCAAGCCCCTACAATTTGCGTGATATATTTTTTACAAAGTATCCATAATATATAAAATATAATAAATTATATTCACTATATAATTAATTAAATAATTAAAGTAAAGAAATTTAAAAGATTAGCTTTACAAGTTTTTTCAACAAAAAAAAATAATCATTTTATATAGCAAGTTAAAAATAGCTACCGTAGAACGGGCTGACTTTGTTAGGATTTTGAGCATTTTTGCAAAATAAATCTGGTTCATTACAATTTTTTCTGATTTTTTTTTTTCCCATTATAACATTATACCTTTCCTTTATATAATTCTATTAAATATTTTTAATTTTTTTTGTCTTAATATATATATTTTTAATCCAAAATGTTATCAATCTCACCCCGTCGTTTGGGGTGACTTTGATAGTCTATTATTTCTTAATGGCTTATTGATTTAACCCTCTTTACAGTGTCGCTAATACTTTCTTTTTGACTTTTACTAAATTAGAACACAACATATTAATAAACTTATAAGATTTACTGGTAAAATTATAAATTTAGACAACAAGTTTGGTTATCGAATATATCTACAGAATGGACAAAGAAAAAACAAAAATAAATTTGATGTTAATATGCTAAACACAGAAAAATAATATATCAATAACATTGTTATAGTAATTAGCAGTTATAAAATAACACTAACAAAAAAGTAATACTAATTGCATATAAATATTAAGTACTGATTTACCCTGATTTACACTGATTTTTCTGCAAATGTGATTGAGAGTAACCAAAAACGAGTGGTATATTCCAGTGGTATTATAACTGGAAAATACCACTTGAACATCTAAGTATAGATTTTTAGAAAAAAAAAATTTCAAAAAAATTAAAATCACAAGATTTTTTGGCATTTTTTGGTACGTGTAAAAATCGTTATTTTTTTGTTATAGTCATGTTATTCCTAACACATTTGCACAATTTAGAATCACTTCACAATCATTAAAATTTCAAAAATATTAGCAGAATATAATTATGTACAAGAATAATAAAAAAAAATGGTCTCTAATTGTGCAATTTCACATTCAAATCATTATTTTTGTAACTAACAGACGAAATTATCAGTCACCCCGCGTATCAAAGTCACCCCGTTCTACGGTATACTATAATAAGACTTCTAAAGTAAAATATAGAAATAAAATATATATAATAATTATTTACATTTTTTTTTTGTGTCATTATCTCATTATATACATTATATATATTAATATACTCATTAAATCAAGCAAATAAATATAAACTTTATTGTAATAAGATAAAAATACTTCAAAAGTAAAGTAAAAAGCAAAAAAAAAAAAAAAAAAAAAAAAAAAAAAAAAAAAAAGCAAGAAAAACAAATAAGTAACGTAAAAAAAAATTTAATTTTTAAAACTAAAAATATAAAAGTATGTTTGTATCTGTTAAGTCGAGCAAATTCTGTTTAACTACATTTTTAAAAGATTGTATTATGGTTATACTTTTCATTTTGTCGTCAAGAACTCTGTTCCATAGACAAGGTCCTCTATATGAAATTGAGTAACCTTTTTTTTTAATGTTGACTTAGGTAAGTTAAAAATGTGAATAGAGCACCTCGTTAGATAAGTTATACCACAAAGTCGTAAGTTAGAAGCAGAAAATGAAAACTGAAATGAATTAGAAATGGAAAAAAAAGAAGAAAACAGGCCTTCCACATCAAATGATCCTGATTTTGTGTTAACAGATGTTGTACCACACAGATTGGCTCAAGCTCAAGAATTAAGTGATCTTGTTCGAGATCTAAACTTGTCACAGGAAAAGGCAGAACTTCTAAGGTCAAGACTAAAGCAGTGGAATCTTATCTAATTTGATATCAAGGTTTTACATTATAGAAAACGGCAGCAGAATCTGCTTTCTTTTTTTGAGAAGAAAAATAATCTTGTTGTTTGCATTGATGTTTTTGGATTAATGAATTATCTTAATTTGAACTATGACCCAACTGAATGGAGATTATTTATAGACTCGAGCTAAGCTTGAAAGCTGTATTATTGCACAACGGAAACCGTCTTCCTTCTGTTCCTATTGGCCATGCAGTTCACATGAAAGAGACTTATATAAACATAAAAATTCTCCTTAACTCAATTAGTTACAATGAACACAAATGGAAAATTTGTGGTGATTTAAAAGTCATTGCTATATTTTTAGGAATGCAATTAGGGTATATTAAATACTGCTGCCTTTTGTGTATGTGGGACAGTAGAGACAAAATTTCACATTATATAAAAGATGACTGGCCTGCAAGAAATCTCAACACAGAAGAAAAAAATGTTATTGCTGAACCACTTGTGAATTCAAAAGATGTTCTTCATCCACCATTACATATTAAGTTAGGTTTAATAAAAAATTTTGCCAAAGGTATGAACAAAGAAGGACAGGCTTTTATGTATTTAACACACAAATTTCCAAAAATGCAAAAGTTAAAGAGGGTATTTTTGTTGGACCACAAATACGGCTATGCTTGCAGATTACTGTTGGTTTGTGTGTAGGGTGCTCCAGAACTAGTCTACAAAAGGAAAGCAAAAAGATCACGATCTCGTGACGATACCCCATAATCATCTTTAAACCTATTAACTTGATGATCATGATTTCTTTGTTTAAAACTATTAGAATATATCTGTAATAAAAAAAAAAACCAAATGTACTTTAAATTTTATTAGAATATGTCAGTGGCGGATTAAGACTTCTTGGGGCCCGAGGCTATTTTTGTTTTTGGAGGCCTTTTTATATGGGCCAGAGCCTAAAATTGACTAAAAAAAAAAAAGGTCCTTTAAAATTTTTGGGGGCTTCTAAATTTGCGGGGCCCTAAGCTATAGCCCCCTTGCTCCCTTGAATATATAAATACACTGGAATATATAAATAATATGTTATATTTCTGTTGAAAATTAACTAAAATAAAAATTTATTTCGATTGTTTATCTCAGAAATTAGAGCAAATAAAAAATTTTCGTTGTTATTTTCTTTTTTCTCAGCCCAAAATTAGTATAATTTGAATAATATTGCTAAAGATACAAAAAAAAAATATTTTTTTGTTGCCCAGTGTTATTAAATCACAATGCATTAAGTTAACCAGATGCAGTTTCACATATGGTTTTTTTCCAGTTGTAGTTACAACCGGAAAAAAAAATTAAATACAAATGCATTATTTTAACCAGATGTAGTTTTATGCATAGTTTTTTTTTCCAGATAATTCAGATGTATTGGAAAAATTATTAGATATTGTTACATCTTCCTAAAAATGTTGTTTGAGGTCATTGAATTTCCAAATGCTGTTGGAGTAAAAATACAATTGCTCCGGACAGATGTACTAATCTTTTACGTATTAAATTGGTTTACAAGTTACTAAAAACTGTAAAATT